AGGCGGGTCTCAAACCCGAGGGCTCAGGCAATCCACTCACCTCAGCCTCCCAAAGGCGCGGGATTATAGGCTGAGCCACTGAGCCGGCTCTGACCCTTATTCTTTAAATTTGAAACTCTCATTTAAATAACAACCAGTGTAACAAAAAATCTGAGTTTTTTTCCTAATGTCTCTCTTAAAAATGCTTAGATTTGTAAATAACTGTGCAAAGATTTCCACAAAAATAATATTGCCTTTGTGGTTTTACAAATGCAGAGCTCTACAGACAATGATACAACAATCATAATAAATAAGTACTGTCATATTTTTTTGGCAGTAATGCAGGTTAAAATGGATCTGTCTCAGCCTTGAGTTATTAGTATTATTGCCACTTTTTATTGCTGCATTAATCACCAAACATACTTAGAGGGATAAATGAAGTTAATTGTTTTCAGAAACTAAATTAAACACAAGTGCTAATGCTGGGTGACTGAGCCCTGACACCGTGTACTTATTTCAATGGAGGAGCAGACAGGCTGCCCACAAGAGCTTCAGAATCATTCAGATGTCACCTTGACATTCATCATCAGTTTTCTTTGTAGTTAGCTGTACAGCCGTTTTTACTCTTAGTTTCTAGAACACATCTGTGAGTTACAGTTTAAAAGTTTTATGTCTGCCAAGTTGAAATGATTCAGAGATCATTTTTAAATGGGCATCTGTATTCATTTGTTAGGAATGCCATAACAAAATACCACTGGGCGGCTTAAACAACAGATGTTTTTTTCTCACTGTTCTGGGGACTGGAAGTCCAAAGTAGAGGTGCCAGCAGGTCTGCCTACTCCTGAGCCCTCTGTCCGTGGCTTGCAGGTGGTACCCTCTGACTGTGTTCTCACGTGGCCATTTCTTTGTGCACACATCCCTGGGGTCTCTTCCTTTTAAAAGGACACCAGTCCCATTGCATTATGGCCCCATGCTAATAGCCTCATTTTGACTTCATTACCTCTTTAAAGGCGATATGTCCAAATATGGTCACCATCTGAGGTAATGGCAGTTAGGATTTCAACATAGGAATTTGGAGGGAACACAATTCAGCCAGAATAGTGTCTTTAATCAATTCTTATAAGCAGGGGCTACACATGGTGGAGAGGGAAGTGCATTTTTTAAAACCATTTAGTGGGATAATCCTTCTAGGGTCCTCCTTTGCCCAAAAGCATTCATAATTCTCAGATCGTACATTTCAAGAGAATGGAAAGCTATCTTAATGTACAATGGATTTTTATTTTCACTCTCCATTTCTAATGGTGAGGCAGACTATGTAACCTGAGAAATCTGAGATTAAAAAACTGCCTGCAAATGCTGGATCTTTTCCATTTTATTTTGGGTATTTGTTTTGTCTTGTTTTTAATCAGTGCTTATAGCAAAGGGAATTCCTGGGCACAAAAAACAAAGAAGGAACTGAAATGCAGACTGTTAGCATGAGACTAAGCCCCCACGAGGCAGAGGCAGATGGTAGCACCTGAGACCTAGAGGAGGATCTTTTGATTCTCAGAGGCCAAACCCTCAGGGAGAGGGTGGAGGAGGGGAAACCTGCCCAGCAGTCCTGGGAGAGCAAGGAAGCAGGGCTGTGTCTGCCTAGGCTGTGGATGGGGACAAAAGTCTTGAGAATTTGTCAACACAGACCCGCTTATACAATTTTTCAAGTTCAAATTTTCACTGTTAGTCTGGCAGTTTCTATCCTGAGAAATCTGTCATTAAAAGGGTTTCCAGGAACCACGACTCTTCATCTGGCAAACACACACAGCCTCTCTCCAAAGGATTGTCGTCTACACCACATGCCAGGTAGAATCCTTCACCGACAAAACCCAGTAGAGACAAGCTTATCATTCACAGTCACCCCGCACAACAGCAAGAATCGGTAGACAAAAGCAAACAGGATTAGACTCCTGGGGACTTTAGGAAAGAGAATAATTGAACATACAATGACAGCACAAGTATGCCTAAAATGATTACATGTATAAAGGAAAACATGAGAAAAGAATAAGACTCTGTTAAAGACCTGATGGATTTTAGCCAAAAAAATAAGCTCTAGAAATGAAAAATAAAATGATTAAAAATCAACTGATGGGATAAAAAGCAGATTTGGGGGAGGATTACTAAATAGGATTCTATTTCCTTCTTTCTGAAGTAGAATGTTCCCTCTGCTGAGAAAGGGGGGAAGGGGACAGCAGGGAGATTTTAGGTCCAAACTCAGACCAGCAGGTACCCGTCGAAACTCAGCCGTGTGTTTTCCTGCTCTCATGCCCTTTTCTAATGACCTGCTAGAGTACTGCTGGTCCTGAGAACCAGTATCATCCTCTTCCTGAAGTCTGAGGCTGGCAAAGTCTCCCAGGGAAAGTCCAGCAAACCTGAGACGTGTAAGCCCAAGCCCGGTTTTCACATTCTTCTTCCTGTTCATAGAGACACTTGTCCTGGACTTTTGTGACTTGGCAGGGTCTACCTAGATTTGAAACACCAGAGACACGATGGGCAGGATAAGTTGACTGTTTCATGAGACGTGAGCTGTCTTGCAGCAGAAGACTTAGGGTCCCTGTCCTGGGGAGGCTGAGGTCTGCCCTCCCTGAGAGCCCAGGGGGCCCACGGCTGCAATGGCAGGGCTCTACCATCTTTTTAGCACTCCCCTATGCCAGGTCTCTGCCAGATGCCGCACTCTCCTTGTTTAAATGGCTTAGTCATAGAGGTACACCCCCTTCTGCAGATGAAACAGTGACTTTCTGAGAATCTGAATTGCTAGTGTGACACTCCATAGCTGAGGATGTGGACAAACTGCTGACCCCAGGGCACATGCTGGTGACCGCTGCATGAGGCTTTTTGGATGTAGAGCTAGCTTTTCCAGACTCTCTTCCATGGAACGCTCTAGTCCTAATGGAGTTTCACTGGTATTACTGAAGAAAAAAAAATTCTGTGGTCTCATACATTTGGGAGAGACTGCATGCTCTGTGTACCTCATAAATCTTCATGATGCAGGTTGGCACACCAAAGGCCAAGAAGACCTCTTGAGGAAGCCCATTTAGTGTTGTCCATCCTAGCATTTCCCACTCTTATTAGATCCCAGAACCACCCCCCTTGCAACACAGTATTTTATTCTATTATATTAGCCATGATGGAAATGTAATCAAGCTACAGCAAGACACCACTTCACACCACTAGGATGGCTGTAATTAACAAGACAGACAGTAACCAGTGTGTGTGAGCATGTGGAAAACTGGAACCCTCAAATTGGTAGAATATGGAGTTGAAAATGGTGCCACAGCTTAGGAAACCAGTTTGGTGATTCCTCAAAAGAATAAATACAAAGTTACTGTGTGACCCAACCATTCTACTCCTAGGTATACACCCAAGAAACTAAAGCATGTCCACACACAAATTTGCATACAGGTTGATCATAGATGTATTATTCATAATAGCCAAAAAAGTGGAAACAAGCCAGATGTCCATCAACTGATGAATGGATGAGTAAAATATGATATTTCCATGCAATAGAATATTATTTGGCAATAAAAGGAACAAAACACACATGCTACAATGTGGATGAACCTTGGCAGCATGTCAAGTAAAAGGAGCAAGTCACCAAAGACCATGTACTGATATCAAATGCCAAAGGCCATGTATTTGATAATTCCAGTTGTATCAAATGCCCAGAATAGACACATCCAAGTGAACCAGCTGCCAGGAACTGGGGAAGGGGGGACAGGGAGTGACTGTTAATGGGTATGGGGTTTCTGTTTTGGGGTGATGAAAATGCCTTAAAACTGATTGTGGTGATGGTTGTACAACTCTAAATGCCTTCAAAGCCATCGTACTGTGTAAGCAGACAAATTGTACATGAGTTATATATCAATAAACTGTTTTTAAAAACTGAATGAACATCTGCCAGTGGTAAGATTTCGCAATTGAGCCATTGTTTGGCAAGGCTGTGGAAGTCTTTGCTGCCACTTGACTGGGTTCTGTGAAGGCATAGAAGCTGCCCTGTGCCACTCCATCAAAAGCATCCTCGATATTTGAGAAAATAAATCTCACAGGGCAGGTTTGAGGTGAGCCTTGTGTCAAGATGCTGAACAGAGTCTTAGTGTCAGCCACTCTCTTCATGCAGCTTGTACTCTGGTTATACCCCTGCTCTTTTTTTGTGGATACTTGAAGACAACCAAAAAAGAAAACAAGAGTCTTGGCACCTTTCTGAGCAGATCTGGAGCAAGAGATGGCATTAACTGCTTATTGTGTGGCATCCCCCCAGACAACACTGACCTTCCCTGGTTAATAATTATCACTGCTGGGCCCTCCAGACTAACCATTGAGCAACCCAACACTTTCCTGGTCATCCCTCCCCCACCTCCAGCCCCCCCCCCCACCCAGCCTACTAGCAGTTCCATTTCCTCATTAATCCTACCTCTTTGTTTGGATTTCAGTGAAAGCTGGTGGAATGCGGATTGTGCAGAAACACCCACACACCGGAGACACCAAAGAAGAGAAAGACAAGGATGACCAAGAATGGGAAAGCCCCAGGTGGGACACTTCTGATGGCCTGAACATGCTTTACAAACAACAGCGTGATTTGGTTAAACATTAACATTTGTTCTCTGTTCCATGCATCTGATAACTCCTGGCTTGTGTGGGACCCTGTTCTGTGTATTTTTCCCTTTCCATCAGTGAGGCGGGGCTTGTTCCCAGGTGGGGGAAACAGAGCCTTTGACATACGTCCTCTTCCCTGGCTGATCCGAGAGCCAGTCTGTTCACCCTGTGCCCTGGCTGGTGTCCCTATCTGGCTTCAGGTAGAGACCTACCCCCACCTGCTCCAGGGGCTGGGTGAGACCTGTCCTGCTCCCATTCTGGAAAACAGGAAGCCAGGGACACTGCCGAGTAGGAACAGCTTCCCATGGTGCCTTGCTTTTCTCCTAGTGCACATGGCCACCATTGACGCTCTCTCCTCAAGACCAGATCATCAGAGTGGAGGAAATAGTGAATTCATGCAACTTCCGGTCTTCTGTGCTCAGGTGTCCATTGTCATTTCAGAGAAGCACATACTAATAGAACAGTGGGCAGTAGTTCCGGACTTGGAGACCCTTGAGGACCACAGCCGAGGCTCAGGGGTGGGCCTGACTGTCTGTGTAGTTGAGCCAAGCCCTTCTGGCTTAAGTAATGTTATAGTATCTCACTCCCTCAGTTCCCCAGCCAAATCTAGAATCATTGAGGCCACACCATGAGTGGCCAGAGGTCCTTAAGGGATATCTCTGGCTCCAGCCCTTTTGGGTCCTGGCCAGGGATCTCAGTTTGTCCTTCTCTGTTCAACACCTGTTTTTCTTGGAGGTTCCAATGATTTGGTTCAAGGCCCTTGGTACAAATCCATTTCCTTCGACCTTGTAATGCACAAGCAGGCACTACATCTCCAGGTGTTGTCCACACAGGAGAAAGTGAACATTAAGTAAGCTGTCTGCTTATAACTTGTCTTCAAATGATGTCTTAGCCAGAGGAGGAAAGAAAGCATGGGAAGGGAAAGGAATGGAAAGAAGCTAATACTGATTTCTGTGGGTCAGGTGCATGATTTCACTTCATGTCACTCCAGCACTCCTGAATAGTGAGTGGCATTCTCCCTGGTTTATACGTGAGGAGATGGAACCCCATAGAGGACGCATACCTGCCCACGTCATGCACCTGGCTAGTGAGTGGAGCTGGTATTTGAGTCCAGAGCAGACCAGGCTTCCAGAACAGTAGCTCCTAAGAGCACATGAGGAGGACGTGTCTGCTATATAGGTCACCCACCATGGGGTATGTTCCATCAAACCTTGTATGGTGTGTTATGGTGCTGCCACTAGAGGGGAAGACAACATTTTGGGTGATGTTTCTGAGTGATTTTTGTCCATTTTAAATCATGAGATCAGTGGTGTGAAGGCTCGGCTCAAGTTCTGATTTTAAAAGAAGGTGGTTTAAAGAAAATTCTGGAATTATCTTTCTCACTAACAATATTGACAAATGGTACTTGGAGCATAATGGCATCAGTAACGGATCCACAGTCCTGTATCTCAAAGCCTTGGGGCCTAATCCATATTGGAATTCAGAAATGTGGGGGTTTTAGAAAGATAATGCAGATTTTAGGAGAATAAAAACCATACACACACCATACGGCACGGGGTCTCAGGCAGCACGCTGTCATTGGTGTATGATGTTGAAAACGAGTTAGATACATTTTTTTAATTTAGGGCTTGTATCTTTTGCCTCCATGTGAGTCATAAGGAAACTCTGAGTTTTTAGAATGTTCTTGAATCTGGAATTGAAGATGAGAGCGTGTGGGACTGTAGTATTCTCCATCCAGAAACCTGGGAGTCACTGCCCTTCTGCACAGCCAACTGTTTCCTTGGGGAAGAAAGACGACAAGAGGAAGCCTTGCCTAGAAAAAAAAAATCCTGGAAAGTTAACAAAACACACGCTTTTCTTTATACGTTTTAGTGGATTAAGGTACAAATAACTATTTCCCTGCCTCATAGTGTCAATACAGTGAGAGGTGGCAATTTATTAGCATGTTTAGAAATAAGGACAGAACAGCCCACCAGTTTCCCCCTATTGATTTTTTTCATGAGCAAAATGTAGCATTTATAGAAGTTAAGCGATTTGAATAAATATGACGGGATGAACAGTTGCCAGAGAAAGATCAAGCACTCCAGCCCTTCAAACTTCAGCATCTTATTCACCATAAAGATTCGTTCTCTATCTCTCTAGAGCCAAAATTTTTTTAAGTAGGTCAGCTGCAGGGTACAGTTTGCAGAGCCCATGGGCCAGGTTTTTGTTTTGGGTTTGTTTTTTTGCTATGATCGCTCCCTACAGCCAAGTTGCTATCATACGTTCCTGATGGGTGTGTTGGCCCTCGTCCCCTTGACTTTGGCCAGGCTCTTTATCACTGCGGGTCAAACCCTTTGACTCAGCATTTATAGAAAGAGTGAGCCTGTGTACAATCTTCAGCGTCAAGGCATGTTACTGACTCATCTCCTTCTGAAACCCTACGCCAGGCCTGGCATCCTGTGTCATAGTTTACATCCACCACTGTGCATCTCCTGTATTTCTGCTGGGCTGGTTGCACCATCATGGTTCCTAACAACTGTTACTCATTCTTGTAGGGGCAGGGAGCCTAGCCCTGCTCCAAATGTATTAATTCACTTGATCCTTGCATCTCCTCTCTTTGTTATCATCCCTATGTCAGAGCTGGTGGTTAGTGGTGATCCCCCTTCCAGATTACTGCTCCCTCATCAACAGTTCTGAGAGTGAAGCGACCTTTCCAAGGTCACACAGTAGATAAGTGGCAGTGCCGATGTTCCCGCCAGTGCGGGAGCTTCCAGATTTCTTTCTCCCAACCTCGAGACTGTACTTAACTGTCCAGTTCCTGTGGTGTGTTAAGTGCTTCACATCATGTTCCATGCTCATACCATCTGTAAATTGGTATTACTGTGCCCACTATATAGATGGAGAAAACAAGGCTTAGGGAGGTGATCCAGCCCAGTCATATGCAGGCAGTCAGTAGCCTGGCTGGGATTCAACCCTGAGTCTGTTGTGAATTGGAAGGAAGCCCACACCCCTAATATGTGAGGGAAACCCCTAGATTGACATAGACTGTAACCCGCATCCCTCTATAAATGAAACTTACTGATTGCAGTGTTGCCCATAACCTTGTCTGCACTTCTCAAGTCCATAATCCCACCCGTCTGCAACCTCACCATCAGTAGATGGTCTAGTTATCAGTTTACAACAAGGTTCAGAGGGACTCTGGGCTGGTTTTACCTTATATATGGAAAAGTTTATTTACTTGCAGAATGTATAAAACATATAATGATCCTCTTGGAAATGCCTTATGGCATGTGACTTCACCATCCACATTACCCTAATCCTGGAGTTGTATATCTTTCTGTGTTGTGTCCAGTATTCTCCAGATGTGAAAATAAGTACATGGTGTCAGATGCCAATTTCCTCCTTAGCCATAGAGCTACATTTGCAAGACTCTTTGTTTTTCCTTTCCAGGTATTTTAGACTGGTTTTAAGTTTACTGATTCATTTCTGGTAGTTTTTCCCCATTAGTGGGAAAATCAAATACTGATTACAGAGAAGAGGGACAACTGAAGCATTGAAGATGTCATTATGTGACGAAAGAAAGAAAGGAAGGAAGGAAGGAAGGGAGAAAGGAAGACAGGACCTTGTAGCTTATACTAGTAACTAATTTTTTTTGCAAATGTTTATGCAACTCTTACACTGTTTAATCTTGTAATTTTCCACAGATTTAAAAATAATTTCCTAGCCGGGCTCGGTGGCTCAGCCTGTAATCCCGCGCCTTTGGGAGGCTGAGGTGAGTGGATTGCCTGAGCCCGTGGGTTTGAGACCCGCCTGGGCAGCAAGACCTCATCTCTACAATAAATCAAAAAATCAGCCAGGTGTGGTAATGCGTGCCTGTAATTCCGGCTACTTGGAAGGCTGAGGCAGAAGGATCGCTGGAGCCCAGCAGGTCGAGGCTGCGGTGGCCGGGAGCAGCCACTGCACTCCAGTCTGGGCGACAGAGTGAGACTCCAACTCAAAAAAAAAAAAACCAAAAAATAAAAATAATTTCTTATGTGGCCAAGTTGTTTTAAGATGCTATGTTTAAAAGAAGAAGAAGAAGAAAAAAGAATGTAGGTGAAATATTGCCAAAGAATTTCTGTCAATTTGAGCTCTAGTTACCTGTGACGGTCTTTGTGTCCAGGAAGAGTAATAGGCTTCATTACTGTTAGCTAATACTTTCCTGAGTGGCTGCTAGATTCTATCTTAGAACCGACCCAATTAAGGAAAGCAGTGATTTAAAGCCTTTTGTTGAGTGTGATAGGATAAAGGACCCAGTTTCATTATGTAAAGGAGAAATTGCAGACATAGAATGGACTTCAGGAGTCAGGTTTCACTAAAGAAAGCAGTTTGATGTCAAGCATTTACTGAGGTTTCACCATGAATTGGGCTTGGTACAAGATATGAAAAAGGAATGGGAGACTGGAAGGGTAAACCAGAAGTGAATGGGTTTGGTCGCCAACAAGGGGTGGGTGGAAAGGGGTGGGGTGGAAGAGGAAATGGGAATGGGTGGTAAGGCAGAGAAAGGAGCAGCCCTTCCTAGAGCTGGCCTTTTGTGTAGTGCTGGCCTTGAACCATGATACTGTTTCACATACCCAAAAATTAAGCAAACAATTCACATCCACCAGGATATGGGAGGGACCCAAAATGGCACGTACACACTGGCATATTGAAGGGAGTGAGAAATGTGGTTGATTAATGTAACCACAAGGAAAAGAGTAGGGAGTTACCTAAGTAACTTTGGAAAACGGCATTTTAAGTGGATACTATAAAGCTAAACACAAAAAAAGAACTTGACATTCATGGTACTTCAGTTAGTATATAGGTTTCTTATAGGTTAGCAATTCTGAAATTGTCTTATGTGTATACTGGAATTGAACAATAAGTAAATATATTGTAGATCATGAAAGCCAAGTTTCTCACTCTCAGAGAAA